TTATCGTGATCACATCAAGATATATATATATGTAATAACAGGGCTCCAACCCTGTTATCAGTGTTGTATTTAGCTTGAAATAATTGCAGTCTTAAGCCATCATACGTTCTAAACAGGTTTATTTAAATTGTATTGCTAACAATTCACGTCCACACTCCCTATGGGCGGGGAATGGACAAGACTTCTGACAATTCCTGAACAGCTTATCAGGATCAAATCATGATGAAAAGGACACGCAAAACTATGCGTTCTTACGTTTTATACCAACACAGATTTGAGGTAAAAAGGCACACTGTCGTACATTCCTTGTAACCTTACGCATTAAGGAAAATCATTTCTCCTGCCTTATATGGAAGTGAAAAAGGGAACGAATCTAAAAATAACTCTTCCTTTGAAATATAAATCTATTTATATTTCAATGGTATGTTTTCAGCCTTGAATTCCCAAAATAGAATCTCTCTACTCTTATTCTTTAACAAAGACATTTTATGAAAACGAAAGAGATTTAATTCTTTTATTAATACAAAAGTATTTAATTTTTGTATTACATACATAAAAATAATATATATATGCATTCTTGGTAGAATGACATATTCTATCGCGGTTTGTCTACTTACAATTAGCAGTATCACAACTGTTATGCATATTATTGTTAGTTTTAGTAATTTGTGAAAACAATTTTCTGAGTACTGTATTTCTGTTAAGAAGCACGTTTACTTTGTAAATAAACACATTTTTATACCCCCGTTCAGCACATTTCTAATTCTTAACGAAGAAAAAAAAATAGTATGCATTTTTAATGTGTCTCTAAATCATCAAATACCTTCTGCTCGGAATTGTGCATGAAATGCAGAATCGAAATACTTCCACCATCTCTTGACTGTCGGTATAGATTTAATAAAATGAGTCCATTTGGAAGCAATCTCTTGAATGTGAGGCCCAAAATGAAATTTTTCAAAAAGTCTATCCATAAATGATCGAGGAAACGTTTTGTCTCTTCCATTCAATGATTCCAAAAGTTTTTCTAAAATCCTACAAAAAACAGGTAAAGAATGCTTAGCAGAAGTAACAGGTAAATAATGCTTAGCAGAAGTAACAGGTAAATAATGCTTAGCAGAAGTAACAGGTGAAGAATGCTTAGTAGAAGTAACAGGTAAATAATGCTTAGCAGAAGTAACAGGTAAAGAATGCTTAGTAGAAGTAACAGGTAAAGAATGCTTAGTAGAAAATTAATTAAAAATGAAAAGATACAGAAAAATGAGAGAAAAAAAACAACTTTAATTGATAAAGCAATGAATGAAAATGACGAAATCAATGGAATAAGATTAGAAATACTATAAATTGTAACATATAAAGCGTGTGTCACACGATTACATGTCATAATTACAAAACCGTTTCGTTGTTTGGTTTTAAAAATGGTTATGCTTTTGTTCTGAGGTTTTTAAAAACGCTTGGCAACGTTCCAGAAAAGCAAGAATTGTTTAGTATGCATTGCCCTGAATTTAAAAATTAAAAGTATGATCAAGAGTTAAAAATTTTTTTTTTTGAGATTTGAAACCCTTGTGGTGAACCAACTTCTCACCAGATGGCAGTGAACTCTGCTCGCCAGGTGGCAGTGCAAAACATTTCTCTCAACCTTTTTATAAGATGGCAACATCTCTTGTGTTCAAACTTTAGTTTCCAGAATCTGGCAGCAGCTCAATATAAACATTCATTCGGGCTTGCTAGCCGGTGAACATTCACCTCTCTAAAAAATGCTGCTGTCGTTAATCTTGTCAGTCTTTTACATTGTAACTTAATATGATTTCTTCTTTTTTTTAATTATTATTAAACTGTTGTGATTATTAATCTTATTGAATCCATTTATTTAATCTAATCACCACACCCTCTAAACGACCACTTACTTTTTTTCTTATTTTAAAAATGGTTTTGTGAGATGTGTTAAATGGTATGGCAATGTTTTAAAAAATTTGATTTGACATTTATGAAGAGAAAAAAAGAACGTTTTGAGGGCAAGAACACTGACAAACTTCTTTAAAAAATAGGATTGAAAAAATTTTTGACCTTAATGTAATTTAAAAAGTTTATGAAAACTTTAAATGAAAATAATTTTTCATAAGGTTTCAGAAAAGATGCATAAAAAGAGAACGCTTGGAAATAGTGAAAAATATTTACTAGATGTTAAAAAAAAGTTTAAATTTTTAATAAAATAATTTTTGAAGTTTCAGAAATCTGTGTTTTTTAACAGGTTGATATTAAAAACAGTTTGGTCAAAAGTTTGGATTTATCAAGATTTCTATGTATTTTATTGTATTTGAAATGTAATTTACTTATTAAACTTTGGATGTGTTTTAAAATTGTATTTTGAATTGTTTTGTGATTTCACAATGTGCGGCAAATGAAAAATTTTGCAAATTATTTCAAAATTATTTAATTTTTATCATTAAATTCTTTTTTTAATTTAAAATTTTCATTGAAAAATTATTTCATTTTTAAATAATTATAAGATTGCAGAAATTTTTAAAGTAAATTGCAAAAGATTTTAATTTCTTCTTTCATTTTCTTCTTTCAAATATTTTTCTTCCTTTCTTCAATAAATTTTTAAAATATATTTTATTAATATTTTAGTAAATTTAGGAAAGTTGTGTCTTCATGAATTGTTTGTCAAGATAAAGTTTCGAAATATTTCGGAACTATTTTCTGAAATGCTTTCTTTTTTTAGATTTTGTAATAAAAAAGAAAGTGCTAGAAAAGGTTTGCAAGACTTTCTTAATGGATTATATTTTACAGGATTTATATTGAAGGGGCCGAAATTTCGGTTCACTACAATCAGGAGTTCACCGTTCCGCAAAACTTCTTTTTATGACACATAAAATGAAAGCCAAAAATGACTGAAAAATAATACGTAGTAACAAAAAATGTGTTAATTTTTATTACTCTTCGTCTTGGGTACAAAAAAAAATTAGTAATCTTTAGCTGATGCAGGGAAAAATTTGTCCATACAAATCTGCCTGGGTAGGCATTTGTTTAGGGATAAAAAAGTGAGATAAAAGAAGCAAACAAGTAAAAAATGCTTGTCGCTACGTTCCCCTCTATAGATGATTTTAAAAATCAGTATAAGTATTTATTTTGAAGTAGACATTTCAAAATTATCAACAAAAAAAATGAAGAAAAAAATTCAGTCGAAGACAGAAAACAGTTCATAATATCCAACTTCCTCACTTTTTAGTTCACTATATCCACAAAAAAAAAAAAAAANAAAAAAAAAAAAAAAAAAAAAAAAAAAAAAAAAAAAAACATTGTACTGCACGCAAGGCACGGGACCGAACATTTCATTCACTATATTCGGGAGTTTACTATAAACAGTCTTCACTATAGTAAAGTTTGATTGTATTAGATTTTAATAAGTTCGGGTAAAATTAGTCTTCAGTCGTGTAGCATTTACATCAAGCATATCTTTAATTGAATATTTTTTTATTTTCAAAAATGAGGCATTGATGATAACAAGATAGCAAAATAGATAGCATATGATACCTTTGACTGTAACTGGAAATCTTGCAAGCTTTGTAAGTTGTTTAGGCGAGACTTCAATGAAAGTGTTAAACTATTTAATATCAGTTTAGAGCATCTGTTCCCAATGATCTTTCAGCTAAACCCCAACTTTATATAAAGATAATTATGAATGCAACAAAAAAGTATTTTTATTTTATAAGATGAATGAACCTTTTTTCATCGCTTAGTAATCTTTTAATTAGAGTCCCTACAACTAAATTCGCAGTCTAGTCTACTCTAGTACTGAATTTGTTTTAGATGTTTATACATAAATTGAATAAAATAAAATGAACCGAATTACGGTTTTCTTTGAAAACTAAAGAAAAAAAAAATACTAATAGAAGATTGAAAATGGTTGCTAAAGAAATAGATTTCTTTATTAGCAAAGTTTGTGTGGTGGGAAATACAAATGCAATTTTTTTTAAAAATGTATGTATTTTTCATAACTTATTCAAACTGATGTTATTTTTTTTATAACTGCCTTTGAACAGAAGACCCATTTTTTAGGTTTACGACTACTTATGTTCAACCATGTAACCTTGTCATTTTGAACCCAATTCAAAAGACAAGAGAACTCCTGGATTAAGTATTGTAAGAAATTTGCCGGCGCGGAGGACTTTTTAATAGAACTAACCCGCATTTGCGTTACATGAGGAGGAAGACCACGAGAACCTCCAGCAGTTAGCCAAATGGCAACGGGACTCTAACCCATGATCCGTCTTTCACTGAGGATATTTCACGTCAGCAGTGTGATCGGTGCAAGCTGGATGCGGAATTCGTATCGACTAGCCATTGCCGGAATTCTGTTGTTATTAAAAAAAATCATGTATTTCTTTCTTTAAAAATCTTTGTATTTCTTTCCTTTTTTATTGGCCTTTACTTTTGAATAATTCCATAATTTAACTGCAATATTAAATAAATAATGACTCACCGGTAAAATTTAAATGTAATTAAAAATTCCAGAATCATTACGGGTTAAAAAAAAAACTAACTCGGAATCCCTCTTCCCCGGAACCTTAGGGTTCCGCGTCACACCAATTGTGAGAATAAAGTTTACAAGAATATCTATGAAAATGATGAAATTGAATGATCAGTATCTTACTGTTTTGTTCGATTGTCTGTTTCCTGATCATCCAGGAGATCTCTCACTCTTTGAGTGACGTAGTTTTGGAATGGAGAATTCTCGTCTGATTGAAGGAATAATTCTTTGTCGAAACGGAGTATGAGGTCTGAAGCAGCACTCCGTAATGCTGTCGAACTGTCTCTTGCCATCACAATAGCTAAACTTTTTTCGAACATCAACCTTCCCACACATGTTGTTAACTCCATATTCTGCAGAGACTAAAAATAATTGCTTAAATATAACACTTATTAAGTTGAGATATTTCTTTTCTATAAAGAAAATACAGACGGACCTCTATTTAACGAATTCTCTAAATCCCGATAAAAAGTTCGTTATGTGGAAAATTCGTTAAAGAGAAAATCACAATTTGAAATACTTAAACAACACAAAAGAGGTTTTAAATTCATAAACACAAGACATAATTAAAATCGAAATGGATGCACCTTTTTTTTGTAAATTATTATCTATTATCGAATTGTTTCAAATGGTTTTAACATTTTATCAGATGAAGGTCTTCATCATTTCCTCACAATTTATTGCTGTATTGATTTTATTTTTCACACTGTCCAAAAATTACGATTCAGTTAATGTTTCTGTGGTTGCAGCTTCAATGGAAATACAGCATCGTTCATTTCGCGGTTCTCTCTAACAAGGGAAACTAGGGAAGTGTGACTCGCCAATTTTGAAATAAACTAGTGGGATGTATGCCTTATAAGGAATAATTTTAGGGGGTAACATTCGTTTCGGCCCATAGAAGGTCCTGTGAGAGATAAAAAATAATTCAATATATAGAAAAATCGGTATTTTATTACTTCAAAGCAGACTATTAGTTATTGTAATTGTCTCATACTCCAATTAATTTGTAATTAATTGGATAATTAATTAATTTGCTAATTAATAAATTAATCAGAAAATTAATTAATTATTAATTAATTGTTAATTAATTATTAATAAATTATTAATTAATTATTAATTTATTATTAATTAATTATTAACTATTAATTAATTTTTAATTAATTATTAACTATTAATTAATTATTAATTAATTGATTTGCAATTATTACATACTCCAATTGATTAGGAAATTTTTTTGAAGAAAAAAAATTTGATGTCAATTTTTTTTAAAATTAACCGAACAGGTTTTTCTGAAAAACTGCAAATATATAAAACTTTCGAAATCAATTTTGACAATAAATATGCATTATATAGTACGTGAAAGTACCACAAAATTAATTGGAGTATGAGACAATTACAATAACTAATAGTCTGCATTGAAGTAATAAAATACCGATTTTTCTATATATTGAATTATTTTTTATCTCTCACAGGACCTTCTATGGGCCGCAACGAATGTTGCCCCCTAAAATTATTCCTTATAAGGCATACATCCCACTAGTTTATTTCAGAATTGGCGAGTCACACTTCCCTAGTTTCCCTTGTAAGCTGTACCCATATTTTTCTAAGTTCTTCTGTCGTCTTCCGCACTTTCTCCGCGCTGACTAAGAATCCAGCTTTAGCGAAACTGTTACGAATAATACGATATGTAACATCATAGTTCCATGTTTTGGAAATTTCTGTTATGATTTCTCGCAAATTGTTTTTTTGGCATAGATTCCGGTATGAAATGCAAATAAAAATGGAAAGGGATTTTACCGCTTTCTCTTAAAGTGGCTGCGAAAATCAATTGAAGGTCATTTCCCCCATAAAATGCGTTAACAAGTTTGAAATGTTCTGAATTATTTTGGGAAATAGGGAAGTGCATCTCAAAGAAAAGTCGGTTAAATAGAAAATTCGCTTCGCAATTTTGAAAGTTATTTTACGAAGAAATTTCCAAAATGTTCTTAGTTCCTCGAAAAAAATCGCAAAATCGAGTAATTTGCAAAATGGAAGTTCGTTCAATAGAAGTCCGACAGTCTAAATAAATTACATTTGCTGATTATATTCATCTCTCTTAAAGTAACTGGGTAAAAATCTCTCACGTGTTGTTGAAAATTTTCCTTTTCACTATTCATATTTAGCTTTCAAAAACCTTTTAATTTCTGACTTCCGATTTTTAAAAATTCTTTTTTTTCGTATACTGACAGGCGAAACCGGAAGTATAGTCCCGAAGTGTAACTAAAATATTTTGTTATGCATTGATTGTTTTAACTTTTTTTTAAATTTGAATAAATTACCTTCTAAAAAAGAAATAAAACACATTTTCAGAAAAAAAATTTTCACATAATAAATTTTTTTCCGCATATTTTTCGTATATTTCAAAATTTTTTTGCATTTTAGGAAGAACGTTGACTATGAGAAAAACCCCTTACGCCAAAACTTTTTGCAAAAAAATAAATAAAAAAGAAAGATAAAATTCGTCGAAATTTCGCATGCAGAATTTGTATAATGTTAGCAATGTTATAATTTGTTATTTTCATCAAGCTTTAAGTAAGACTATTTAGAATTTTTCCTTAAAAATTCAATATTATACATTAATTAGTTTAATTTCATTGTCTTTTTGAAATTTTTTTGTGATATGTGTTGAAAAATCTCAGGTTGATCTAGAAAAAAAAATGATTTTGAAACTTACGCACCACAGTTTGTTGTAGAACCATTAAAATGATTTGTATTTTGTAAGATCTCATTTCACCTAAATATGAAAATTTTTTTACAATTTTTTAACACCCTTAAATTTTTAAACCACATTTCAGGACCCTTTCGAACCAAATAAAAAATTAAAATTTTAATTAAGCCTTTTTTAAATTATTCCAGTTTAAAAATTTGATTAAACCAGTTGGATACCTTAACATGTAATCACTCTAGCCAAGATTAGAAGAAAAACAATAACTAATAAAAAATGGTAGATCAAAATTGTGTTGATTGTTGGCTTACCTTTAGAACTGATAATCTTATCTGTTCCGGTGCTTCATTATTAGAAGCACATTCCATTAACTTTTCGAGTCCATCGGGCTTCAGAGTCAGGAGAGCATCCCCCATATTATTTATAACCTATTTTAAAAAACAATCCTCATTTAATAAATGCAAAAGTTATTGTTTTAATCCGAAACGAATGTTCTTTTTGGTAATTAACCACTTTACATATAGAACTAGACATTTGGAACCAGCTGGGCAGACTTTCAGAAATAGTTTTTGGTAGGAATCCCATCGGAAAATTTTTACGTGTGTAAAAACATGCAAGAACCAGGAAAAAGTAGATTAATATTAAATTTCAATGGGAAAGTGGATAAAAATTAATGTGCCATTTCAAGCAACTTTTGTCGTTTAATGTATACGGAAAAAAATATTAGACGGAATAGTATTACTAAGAAAATTACAAACCTAATATAGGACTTTAATATATACATAATACAATTTTAAAATAAAAAATATTTTTATAAGATGTGTTCCATAATTACGACAATTCGTTAAAAAATGAAATGTAAAGAAAAAATACCTTTAAGTAACGGGTCAGATCTTCAATATGTTCTGATTCAGGAACGCAAAAGCTGTCGATTGCATCAGTCAAATAAGTAGCAATGTTTGTTAAATATTCCTGCGGAAGAAAAGAAAATGTGGAACGAGAGATGATTTTTACTTGACACATCTATTTCAAAATAATGAAATAATTAAAAAAATTCGACTTAAAAAATCTTATTTTCTTAATTTATTTTTCACTTTCTTAAATTAAATTACAAATTTAAAAAGTCAAATCTATATATTTCAGAGTATTTTTAGACATTAGAATAATCAAAACGAAGCATAAAGTAATTCGACAATTTGTTTTTTAAAAAAAATAAATAAATAAAAATAAATGAAAAAAGAAAAAAAATGCTAGAATAAAATTTTATGTTATCCAAAATATTAGAATACTTCATTATATACACGAAAATTCAATATTGAATGTAGAAAAAAAAGTTACTTAATATTTGGAAGCTTTGATAATTGCTCGATCTTGCAAGGAATAAGTAAGCGTTCACATTAGCCGAAATAAACGTAATGCTCACCTTTGTTTGTAAGAAAAACTTTTTTTCCCTTTTACTATTCCTGTCAAATTATTTAAGAGAGCCGCGATGGCTCAGGGAACAGAGCATTCGCTTTCCAATAAGGTGAACCGGGTTTGAATCCCAGCGATGACAGGACGATACGAATTACGCATCCCACTTGCACCATCATGAGTTAGAGTCCCTTTGCCGTCAGGCTAACCGTCGTGGGAGGTTTTCCTCTTCATGCAACACAAATGCGGGTTAGTTCCATCAAAGAGTCCTTCACGAAGGAAACTTTCTCCCAATACTTGATCCAGAAGTTTCCTTGTCTTCTGTATTAGGTTCAAAACTACATAGTTGAACATTAGTAGTCGTATACTCCAACAAAAAATTGGGTAGGCAGTTCAACTACGGTTATAAAATAAAATGTAAGTAAAACCAAACAATGGAAACCGGGCTACTGTACTTAACCTTTAAACATATCAAAGTTGAGAATACCAGGCAAGTTTAAAGCTGGTAATGACATTTACATTCTAGCCTTGCTATTATCCTATTTAATCAGATTATTATATACAGTGAAACCTGCCAAGTTGACCACCTGGTTGCAAGCTGGACACCTGCATAAGTTGACCTCAATTATCAAGAACGGAATTTTTCCTATATAACATAAAGAAGCAAAACCTTTTAACTTAACCACCTGTTTATCTTGTATGTTGATCACTGAAATAAGTAAATTTTGTATAGGAGAATTATGAAATTCTATTCTAAAACCCTCAAGTTAATCAGAAAAAAAAAATTCAGAAAATTTTCTGTCATTTTGCAATGTATGTTAATATTTCACTTGTTTGGTGAAATAGTGTAAAAAGCTAATCTAAACCTTTTTGTGAGTTGACCATCTGGGGAAACTGTAGGGAGTCAGCTTTTGACCATTTCTTTCATTCATTCATTGAAAACAGGTGTGTTAGTTGAAAAGTTGCTCTTCCAGTTGCAATAGTGAGCATTTGAATAAATGAATGCTCTGAAATATGCTTTGATTCTTTATTTATGGTCTTTGATCTTTAAGTGTAGTAAATAAATTTTAAAGTGTTCAAATAATTTTATTTTGTTAAAGTTTTCAAATTACATGTTTTCGTGTCCGTTTCATGTTTTCGTTTATTTTTATTGAACACTTCATATGTATAACTAACGAAATAATTTTTAAAAAAAAGTTAGTTAAATATTAGAATTATATGTAACAAATTGAAGTTCATTCAGGTTTAAACACATTTCTTAAGATATTCATTAGGCTATTTGCTAAATAAAATGTTTAAGTCAAGTAAAATTTTCTTTAAATATATAACAACATGATATAGGAAACGAAAAAGTAAACAATGACCCACCCCCTCTATAAGNCCTTCATTCAAAACATTGGGCTGTTGTAAAGTCTAAACAACAGCGCCAAACAACTATGAGGGAATATTTTTGTAACAAATACGTTTGTAAGTGTAGTAATAACAGAATAAATTTTAAAGTGTTCAAATAATTTTGTTTTGTTAAAGTTTTCAAATTACATGTTTTCGTGTCCGTTTCATGTTTTCGTTTATTTTTATTGAACACTTCATATGCATAACTAACGAAATAATTTTTTTTTTAAAAAGTTAGTTAAATATTAGAATTATATGTAACAAATTGAAGTTCATTCAAGTTTAAACACATTGCTTAAGATATTCATTAGGCTATTTGCTAAATAAAATGTTTAAGTCAAGTAAATTTTTTTTAAAATATATAACAACATGATATAGGAAACGAAGAAGTAAACAACGACCCACCCCCTCTATAAGTTGCCCACTTGTCTAAGTTGACCACTAAAACAATTCCCCACAAGTGGTCAACTTACACAAGTTTTACTGTATAATGAAAGGTGATCTTTGCCGTCAGCCTGGTTTTTGTGGATTTCCTGAAACGCAAATGCGGGTTAGTTCCATCAAAGAGTCCTACATGGAGGGAACTTTTTCCCAATACTTGATCCAGAAGTTTCCTTGTCTTCTGGATTGAGTTCAAAATGGCAAGGCTACGGAGTTTGAACGCTATTAGTAGTAAACCCGGCTGTTCAACGACGGTTATAAAATAAAATTGGTATAAGATCTGGTGTATTACAAATCTATAAGGTGAATACAAATATTTCTTAAGAATAAAATCATGTTTATGCACTTCATCATCATTTGATTACCAAAAGAAACATACTTTTGTTACTAAATATCTTTTTCTAATCCATCAAACCCCATACAATCTTAATTTGTACCATAGTTTGTTTTACAATCGTAAGTGGTTTTGTTTTTGGAACACAGCGTTGAATTTTAAATTTATGAAGACGCCTTAATATTGTCGGTTCCTTCTATCTTATTTTCTAACATACTTTTTAAGTACGTCTTCAGTCATCTCTGGTTGACTTCCAATCTCTGGCTGTAACAAAGCAAGCTTGCTGTACTTCCGTGACCAGCTAATTCACCAGATCTTAACCATATTCAAAATTTATGGGGGATAGTAAAGAAGATGAATCTAACTGAGATAGTAGTCTACTGAGTGAAGTGCTCTACTTGACTCACTACTTGGGTTCATGAGGACCAAAAAAAAAAAATTAAAAAAATGCTTAATTCATGAAAGATTGTTTAATTGCAATGATCAAAAGCGATGTTGCAGAATATTAGGTAACTTTTTTTTCTCCATTAATAATTGAATTTTAGTATTTATAATGAAATATTCTAATAGTTTGGACAGTATAAATTTTATTCTAATATTTTTTTAAAAGTTAACAGTCGAAACTAACTTGTGCTTTATATAGATTTTTTTAAAGTTAAAAAGTACTTTGAAATATATAGACTCAACTCGCTAAATTTGTAATTTAATTTAAATAAGAGAAAAACAAATTAATAAAGTAAGATACTTTTTAAAGTCGAATTTTTTAATTATTCTAATTTTTTTGAATCAGTGGCATACTTTGTGTGTTCCATGATGATGGGTGTGACGAATCATTGTTCCAAGGGTCATCCAACACAAACTCAAAGATGTTTCTTTGCACGTAGTCTGAAAATAAAGAAGATTAAAAAATATATTTTAACATCAAATTATATATCATTCATAATATTAAGCACGATAGTTTCCAGATTTGGGTTACACAAAATTACGCATAATTTTAATACTGTAAAAAGCATGTTTATATAGAGAAAGTAAGTTTTTTTTGTCTGATTTCGTAAGCTAAAATATCGTCTCCACTTATAAGTTAGCTTCATTTGGGGTCACCCATTAATATTGAGTCCTTGAAATTCGATCATTAGATCAAAAATTATTCAGAGTGGTACGTTTCTTTTTTCCGCACTGTATATTGATGCTTTTTCGATGAAATCAAAACTGTTTAATTCCTAAATTACAACTTAATATTTATCTTAGCATTTTTTGTTATCTATGGCGTCAATAGTTGTTGCACTTTAGCTTATTTTCTTCTTGGAAAAGTTTGTTACTACTGGCAAACTTGTTGGTAAACCATTTCTTTTCTTTTTCTAAGTACAGAGCTCTTCAATCTGTAGCAGTCTATCCTAGATATGTAGTTTAAATCGAAATATAATAAAAGAAAATCTATATCGTTTAAATAGGATTTACGGTTTATTTTACTTTTTTGCTTCCAATCCTATAGAACTATCTAAACGAACCCGAAAATATTAATGTAAATTATTATTTTTTTGAAAGTAATTTATAATAATAATATAATAATAATTAGAACATTTTTAACTTATAATAAAAAAAAAGTCTTACATTGAAATTTTTACAAGATGATTCCTTTCTAATTCAAATATTTTTTTTAAACAATTTCCAGCAAATATTTCTCTAATTGCTAATAACGTTTGCAATCTTAACCACCTTCTAATTTGAAATAGCTGTTATATTTGTAAAATCACATCCTGAAGCTCTCTAAATTTGATGTTTAATAATTTTACGAAATTGTGCGTAGGAACTCTTTATGTTAAGTTAACACCAATATTGCAAAGAGCTCACACCAAAATCATGCACATGATTTTGGTGTAATCCAAGGTTTCAGATTAGGGTAATGTGCATAGAATAGAGCTGATTGTCACAGTTTCAAGATTAAAAAGGTTTAAACGCATAACTAACCTTTTCAGGTTTACATTAGAAGTTTTTTGCTGACAAGATGACTAAGGTGTTAGAGGGATCGCTTCCGAATGAGAAGAACCGTGTTTGAATCCCAGCGATGGCTGGTCGAAAAAAATCCGCATCCGGCTTGCACCGACTCCAGTGCTAACGTGGAATATCCTCAGTGGTAGATGAATCAGGGTTTAGAGTCCCTTTGCAGTCAGGCTAAGCGTGGGAGGTTTTCCTCGCCATGTAACGCAAATGCAGGTTAGATGCATCAAAAAGTCTTTCACGAAGGTAAATTTCTCTCAATACTTCATACAGGTGTTTCCTTGTCTTCTGTATTGAGTTCAAAATGACAAGGCTACGGAGTAGAACATGAGTGATCATAAACCCGAAAATTGGGTCGGCTGTTCAACGACGGCTGTAAAAAAAAAATGAAATGAGATATACGTACAAGAATTGAGCGGAGAGTTGGTAGCGAGGCTTCACGTATCTTGCTCCACAAGTAGAAAACATAATTCATGTAGGTTGATGATATCTCTCCTTTCCTCATCAGAAGGTTGAGTGAGTCTAGACACTCTTCAGTGCTGCAGTGCAGGAGGGCATCACTCAGATAAGACATTCCCAAAGCCTTCAAAAAAAAAAAATTTTTTTTTTCCAATGGACAATGTATTGAAATATCACGATCTAATATAACATAAAATCACCCCTTGTCTCCATTAAGTGCTTGCTTAGCCCCATCGTAACAGGCGCTTTATTCTATACTAGTGGGCTGCGCCCCCTGCTCGCTAACGCTCGCCAACCCCCGAAAATTGCTACGCAATGTTATATGGTTTGCTCCGCAAACCAAGCTCGCTTCGCTCGCTACTAACTTAGGTACATTGCAAATGCACAAAATTCTAAGAATTCAAAACAATCATTCAAATCCATATAACAACTTTTTTTTCTAAAAAAAATTACATCTTTTTAGTAAGTACTGAGTCCTTAAAATAAATTTGAATTCAAATAAATGACATGTAATTCGTTAAATCTATTAGAAATGTGCTATAGTATAAAATCTTAAGATAAAATTTCTAAAACTGATATCTCTTTAAAAAGATTAAAATTTCGGCTATAATTAAGTCTATTAAAAATTTAAATAAGTGAATTGCAATGGAAAAACCTGCATAAACAAATAAATTCTAGTAAAACAAATAAATTCGTGATATAAATCAAAAATTGTCAAATAAATTCGTAATACATAAATTCGTGAAAAAAAAACGCTTTCGACAAAAAACCAAAATAGAGATCTATCGACAAAGACTTCTGCCTAGCTTATGCTCTCCCTGGTTATTTCAGTTTCCGTTTTTAAAAGCGCTATATGTTGAGCCATCTTCGCTAGATTTGGCATGTGACATTTTTATCGGTAATCATTGGTCTATTTTCTAGCGTTGCCATGCGGGGAGTTGTAATGAGGCTTATTTTTATCGCCGTGTAAGAGAAATATATATATAGATACGCACACTAGTGTAAGAAATTATTAGGATTTTCGGATTGGTCGATTACTAGTCTAGAACTACTGGACCGATTTTAATGAAATTTGATCTATAGATACAAAACAATATAAACAATATACATCTCAGATAAGACATGCCCAAAGCCTTAAAAAAAGAATTTTCTTCCTAATGGACAATGCATTAAAATATCACGATCTAATATGACATAAAATCACCCGTTGTTTCCATAAAGTGCTTACTTAGCCCCATCGTAACAGGCGCTTTATTCTATATACACACACTAAGGTAAGAAATCATGAGAATTTTCGGATTGGTCGATTGCTAGTCTAGATTATCTAAACCAGCCAATTGGATTAACTAAAACAGTCAATCTTAGAATTAACTAAAGCAGTGAATCCTGGTTCTAACCAAAACAGACAATTCTAAGATAAATTAAACTTGTCAATCCCAGGATTAAATTAAATCAGTCATTCCAAGGATTAATTAAACCAGTCAATCTTGGTAATAACTAAACCAGTCAATCCTGGAATTAACTAAAACAGTCAATCCTAAGCAAGTTTTTCCAATGGACAATGCATTAAAATATCACGAACTATTGACATCAAATAACACTTTGTTTCCATAAAGTGCTTACTTAACCTCATCGGAACGGGCGCTTTATTAAATATACACACACTAGTGAAAGAAATTAAGACAATTTTCGGACTTGGTCGATTACTAGACTAGAACTACTGGACCGATTTTAAAGAAATTTGATCTGTAGATACAAAGCATTACAAACAATATACATCTCAGATAAGGCATGTCCAAAGCTTAAAAAAAATAATTTTTTTCCCCAATGGACAATGCATTAAAATATCACTATCTAATATGACATCAAATTACCCTTTGTTTACAAAAAGTGCTTACTTAACCCCATCGGAACGGGAGCTTTATTCAACGCACACACGATAGTGCTAAGAAATTAAGAGGATTTTCGAACTCGGTCGAAAAATATATGTAACAATACACAGACAAATAACCATTCAAAAATTGCTATTTTGAGTATCAAAAATCAAAATTTAAATTTTTTTATTTCTCATTACCAAAACCAGTGATTTCACGATTTAACTATATCGGACCATCGTTATCATAATTAACCAGACAAACCTAGGATTAACTAAACTAGTCAATATTTGGATGGCCTAGGATCCTAGGACCGATCAATCCTAGGATTAACTAAACCAGTCAATTGGAGTAACTAAAACAGTCAATCTTAGAATTAAATAAAACAGTCAATCCTGCGATTAACTAAACCAGTCATTCCTAGTCAAGTTTTTCGAATGGACAATGCGTTAAAATATCACGATTTAATATGACATCAAATCACCTTTTGATTCCATAAAGTGCTTACTTAACACCATCGGAAAATAACCATTCAAAAATAGCTATTTTGAGTATAAAAAATCAAAAGTTACATTTTTTATTTCTCATTACCTAAACCTGTCAATTTTTGATTTAACTAAACCGGACCATCATTATCTTAATTAACCAGACAATCCAGGATTAACTAAACTAGTCAATCCTTGAATGACCTAGGATCCTAGGACGCTTCAATACTAGGATTAACTAAACCAGCCAATTGGATTAATTAAACCGGTCAATCCTGGAATTAATTAAACCAGTCAATCCTAGTCTAATTTTTCCAATGGACAATGCATTAAAATATCAAGATCTAATTTGACATCAAATCACCTTTTTGTTTCCATTTAGTGCTTACTTAACTACATCGTAACGGGCGCTTTTTTTAATATACACACACTAGTGTAAGGAATTATAAGAATTTTCGGGCTTTATCGAACAATATACATAACAATACAAAAACAAATAACCATTCAAAAATTGCTATTTTGAGCATGAAAAATCAAAGGTTACATTTTTAATTTCTCATTTCCTAAACCAGTTAATTCCAGATTTAAATTAACCGGACCATCATTATCATAATTAACCAGACAATCCAAGGATTAACTAAACTAGTCAATCCTAGGATGACCTAGGATCCTAGGACGGATCAATACTAGGATTAACTAACCCAGCCAATTGGATTTACTAAATCAGTCAATCCTAGGAGTAACTAAACCAGTCAATTCTGAATTAACTAAACAATCAATCCTGGGATTAACTAAACCAGTCAATTTGTGATTAACTAAACCAGTCAATCCTAGTCTAATTTTTCCAATGAACAATGCATTAAAATATCAAGATCTAATTTGACATCAAATCACCTTTTGTTTTCATTTAGTGCTTACTTAACTACATCGTAACGGGCGCTTTTTACAATATACACACACTAGTTTAAGGAATTATAAGAATTTTCGGGCTTTATCGAACAATATACATAACAATACAAGAACAAATAACCATTCAAAAATGGCTATTTTGAGCATGAAAAATCAAAAGTTACATTTTTAATTTCTCATTACCTAAACCAGTTAATTCCAGATTTAACTTAACCGGACCATCATTATCATAATTAACCAGACAGTCCAAGGATTAACTAAACTAGTCAATCTTTGGATGACCTAGGATCCTAGGACGGATCAATACTAGGATTAACTAACCCAGCCNAGATTTAACTTAACCGGACCATCATTATCATAATTAACCAGACAATCCAAGGATTAACTAAACTAGTCAATCCTTGGATGACCTAGGATCCTAGGACGGATCAATACTATGATTAACTAACCCAGCCGATTGGATTAACTAAACCGGTCAATCCTAGGATTAACTAAACTAGTTAATCCTGGGACTAACCAAAACAGTCAATCCTAAGATAAACTAAACTAGTAAATCCTGAACTAACTAAACCAGTCAATCCTAGGATTAACTAAACCAGTCAATTCTAAGATTAATTAATCCAGTCAATCCTAGGAGAAACTAAACCAGTTAATTCTAAGATTAATTAATCCAGTCAATCTTTAGTGCTTACTTAACCCCATCGGAGCGGTTGCTTTATTCAATATACACACACCAGAGTAAGAAATTATGAGAATTTTCGAACTGGGTCGATTTTTTAGTCTGCAACTACTGGACCGATTTTAATGAAATTTGATCTGTAGATACATAACAATACATTACAAAAACAAATAACCATTCAACAATTGCTATTTTGAGTATCAAAAATCAAAAGTTGCGTTTTTTATTTCTCATCACCTAAATCAGTCAATTCTCGATTAAACTAAACTGCACAATCATTATCCTAATTAACCAGACAATCCTAAATTAGTAAATTAACTAAACTGGTAAATCCTTGGATGACTTAGGATCCTAGGACCGATCAATACTAGGCTTAACTAAAGCAGCCAATTGTATTAACTAAAACAGTCAATCCAGGGTCTTACCAAAACAGTCAATCCTAAGATAAACTAAACTAGTAAATCCTGAATGAACTAAACCAGTCAATCCTGGGATTAACTAAACCAGTCAATTCTAAGAATAATTAATCCAGTCAATTCCAGGAGAAACTAAACCAGTCAATCCTTGGAGTAACTAAACCAGTCAATCCTAGGAGTAACTAAACCCGTCAATCTTGAGATTTACTATACCAGTCAATCCCAGGATTAACTGAACCTGTCAATCCTACTCAAGTTTTTCCTATGGACAATGCATTAAAATATCACGATCTAATATGACATCAAATCACCCTCTGTTTCCATAAAGTGCTTACTCAACCCCATAGGAACGGGAGCTTTATTCAATATACACTAGTGTAAGAAATTAAGAGAATTTTCGGACTCGGTAGAACAATATACATAACATTACAAAAACAAATAACCATTCAAAAATTGCTATTTTGAGCATGAAAAATCAAAAGTTACATTTTTAATTTCTCATTACCTAAACCAGTTAATTCCAGATTTAACTTAACCGGACCATCATTATCATAATTAACCAGACAATCCAAGGATTAACTAAACTAGTCAATCCTTGGATGACCTAGGATCCTAGGACGGATCAATACTAGGATTAACTAACCCAGCCGATTGGGTTAACTTAAAAAGTCACTCCTGGATCTAACCAAAACAGTTAATCCTAAGATAAACAAAACTAGTCAATGCTAGGAATAACTAAACCAGTCAATCCTAAGATTAAC